TTGTTCAATATGTCTTTAACTCCAATTCGTACGTAAACTGGGAACAGTTAGGTAACCTTTGTATCTAATACCATTTAGTCAAGTGTTTGTCTTAGTATAGTTATCTTCCTATGCATAAAAGCATAAACACTTCTAAATACATGCAAACATCTTTAATGAAGTAAAAATACATCTTTTTAACAAAGTAAAAACCATCTTTAACAGTAATAATAACAATGTTTTGATACTGGTCATAAAGTGGCACTTATTTGTTATTACCAACTATGACATGCACCTCAAATTTTGAATATAAAAGGATTTATGGTGATGGGTTTGTAATGGATGTTCATAACCAGGGGGATGGTCTGTAATCTACAATAGCATTTGGTACTTCACTCAACCTTCACTGGGGAGAGTCCATGAATCCATTTCTTTGCTCCCATTGTTTTCCCAGGAAAAATGATGAGTTAAAGCTTGAATCTTCCACAAAAGTCAGTAGGAATGAAACAGCATTTTGCACAAAGGGACAGAAGCCACTAAAGAATATATAGCTCCTATACTTCTTGAGATTTTAAATTTGTAAATGCAAATCAATAAGTAGAGTATAACAACACTTAAATGACCTTTCAGCCTTTAACAAGAGGGCAGGATTCTGAGGTCATCACGCTCATTCACCAAGGATTACCACTGCCTCACAGTCATACCCAAATTTATGCCTCTGCAAAATTACAACAAACATCAGGTCATAGATCTTTGGGGTCGGTGGTAATAGATAAAGTGGAAGGTGCTAGAGCTTTGAATGCTAAGGGCTTACTGTGGTTACATAATAAATATTTGTTGAATAAACTAAACGATTCTTTCCATCTCTGGAGCTGTTATAAAAGGTCCATAAATGAGTATATGTTGTGTTCTTGTACTGTTTCTATTCATTTCATTCACTTTAACCTTTAAAATAGCACCGGGCTGCAAAACGTTTGAACCAGCCACTCCTTGGAAACCCTATAGAGGGTCACTATGGGTCAGAACCGATTCGACAACACTTAACAACAACAAACCTTCAGCCATTTGAATGGCCATGTTTCAACTCAACTTCTGTTAATGTTTACCTACTATTAATGTTGATTACTACAAGGGCAATTGTGCTGTTCAACTTTAATATTATACAGCTAACTTTTCTACTCTATTCATGGCTTAAGAGAATTTATCTGCCCCAATATGAACCTCTGGTAGTGTAGTGGTTACGAATCGGACTGCTATCCTCAGGGTCAGCAGTTGGAAACTACCAGCTGTTCCAAGGCAGAAAGATGAGGCATTCTGCTCCTGTAAAGATTTACAGCCTCGGAAACCCTGTACAGGGTAGCTCCACGGAAAATAAACAATATGAACCTCAAAAACATTATACCAAATGAAAGAAAAGAGGAAGACCCCCCCCCCCAGAGAGATGGATTGGCACAGTGGCAGCATCAATGGGCTCAAACATAGCAAGCATAACCAGGAATGATCACATACTATATGATTCCATTTATATGAAATGTCAGGAATAGGCATACCCATAGAGATAGATCAGTGATTACCTGAGGCTGGGAGGATAGGGGATTGGTTGATGATAATGAAAGGGGTCTGGGTTTCTTTTGTTGTTGTTGTGTTGTGAAGTGCTGTTGAGTCAGTTCCAACCCATAGCGACCCTGTATAGGGTTTCCGAGGAGCAGCTGGTGAGCTTGAACTGCCGACCTTGTGGTTCGAACCAACTTTGTTGAATTGTAGTATATGTAATTTATACCTCAATAAAACAATGTATGCACACACACACAAGAGGGTTTCAAAAAGTTTGTGGAAAAATTCCATTATCTTTTAATTCTATTTTCCACACACTTTGTTTCTGAAAGAAGGATATAAGTTTCTAGCAGGAATTCTACCTACAATTTTTCCCATTCCAGTTATCATTTAAAGAATTTGGATCTGTTCTAGTTTTGTTTCATCAGCCATGAAAGAACCCAGAAGAACGCATTTGAAGCCCTGGTATATGCTCGACACTGGAGAAAAAGAGGAAGACCCCCAGCAAGATGACTGGCACAGTGGCAGCATCTACGGGCTCAAACATAGCAACAATTGTGAGGTTGGCCCAGGATTGGGTGGTATTTCATTCTGTTGTGCATAGGGTCACTATGAGTCAGTACTGACTCAATGGCACCTAACAACAATACATGCACTAAAAGAGGAAGGGAGTACACACAGAACATTTCCTCACCTTCTCCTAGCCCAAGCATCTTTTCATCAAGAGGGAAAAAAAATGTTCTACTGTTTCCCTTTTTCTCATCCATGTTTTCAGACTTTTAAAGAAAGCTGGATGATTTTATCAGTAAACCAAAGTAAAAGTTAAGTTAACCCTTCTGATATCTTTAGCAAATGAGTTGTTACAGGAAAAATCTAGTACACCAAATGAGATTTATCCTTTATTGAGGATAGTAACTTTCTTCAATCATTAAGGTGCAATGTTCTTTTGCCACTATGAGTTGAGTGAAGCCTTTTCATGGAAAGCTCTGGCTTATTTATCCTTATGGGATCAGTGCCAGTGTCACCTGTCTAGGAAACAGTCCCTAATCTCTGCACTTGTCTGTCATCTCAAGTCCCCAAACCTTGAACATGCCTCTATTTTATCTAACAAATTGTGATTTTGGCTTTTTTATCTATCTTTGTCATTAGATCACATGCTTCTTTAGGGCAAGGACTGCATATTTCAGTTCTGAATTCTTCAAGGTTTAACAAACTAGCCCAGAATCAAATCAGTATTCTTGCACTTTCTTTTTACATAAAGAGTTTTAGGTGGAGAACATTTTTTAGTTGAGTCAATTTTAATATGTCCTCTGACTTCCATTCTGCAAATAGTGGACATTTTGCAAAATGCATGCCTGTAGCATGATGATTATCAAATGGGTGAGTATGTGTACACTGGAAAAGCACATCTGAATAGTTAAATGAAAACAATAGCCCCCCCCCCCGTTTTTTTTTTTTTTTTAATATGAAAATTACAGAAAGTAAGGCCTGACAACTAGGCTACAGGATTTTTAAGTTGAGAAAAAGACAGCTTTCCTATTCTAATTATGCCACTGCTAATAAGGAGCTCTGGTAGCGTAGTGGTTACGCATTGGACTACGAACCACAAGGTCAGCAGTTCGAAACTACCAGCGGTTCCGCGGGAGAAAGATGGAGGCTATCTGTTCCCGTAAAGATTTACACCCTTGGAAACCCTGTACAGGGTCGCAACCTACTCGACAGCACTTAACAACAAATTCAATAGGATTGGAATACACTAACTTGTTACATCTGTGTGCACAATAAAAGTTGTTGTTGTTATGTGCCGTTGTGCCAACTCATTCTCATAGCGACCCTGTATAGGGTTTCCAAGGAGCAGCTGATGGGTTTGAACGGCCAAACTCAGGGTTAGCGGTCCAGTGCTGATACTATAATGCCACATCAGGATTCCACAATGACAGAAAAGGGTCAAAATAAAGATCTGAGAAGCTCTCCTGTACAACTAGTCTTTGAACTTTGTGATTCAAGGGAGTCCTCCAGGTATATTGCCATGCTACATCTAACTTTTGCTCATGCAACCAGAATGCCACAGTGTCTCTGCCCATCCAAATCCTAACCGGGGTTTAAGACAAATCCTCCAACATCATACGCTGATCTTGTCCTCTGGATTCAAAAAGAAATTATAATTACATGACAACATAAAGTTAATTATGTTGTTCACGGTAGTTTCTACTCGCTTTTTCAGTCTATCCAAAGACTTGTCCACAAGAGCAGGGAGAAGAGCTTTAAACATGTATCAATCGAGTGTGCCTGTTATAACATTCACGTGGAAGCTCAGGAGTCTTAGGTGACCGTGTTTCACTCCTAGCTCCTAGGTGAAGAAATGAGACATTCGACCTTTTTTCTGACTAAAGGGTCCTGATAATGAATACGAATAAGATCTTCTGTTAAGAGAAAAGAGGGTGGGGAAGAACTTAACCTATTCAACAACAAAAAGCGGCTTTCTTTAGTTCGCTCTACTTTCCAGTTCCGAAACAGCCATCCCTCCTCCCGACGGTTCCCTTCCCAAGGTGGAAACGACGAAGTCCAAAAGGATATGGCACCACCTTGGACCTCTGACCTAGGAGTGGAGACTCACCAGTTTCATATCGGACTTTTTGTTGTTCAATAGCAGTCACTCGACTCCTGAAACCCAGAAAGGGTCTTCCGGTTCAATCTCCGCCACCAACCCGCAGAGAGCATTACGGGACAAGCTGTCTTACCCGGCTACATCGAAGAATCATGGGAAATGTAGTCATCCCTAGATGCATCATGGGAACTGTGGTCATGTGTTTATCTATATATACATATATGCATTTTTTTTCCCTCCCTTTCCCCTCTGAACTCCTTCCGTCAGCTCAAATTCATCCCCGTCGCCTCTTCATCCTCCTTCTTCACCCCAGCATGATATCATGTCCCCCCATTAGGCCTGGGACCCATGGTATTATGGGATGTGTAGTCCCCGTGGCTCTGGATCCCTTTCCCCTCCTCCCCGTGGGCAGGCAGAAGGATGCAGGACTTGCCGGGAGTTGTAGTTCTCTAGGGCCTCAAGATGCCGAGTTCCGTGCATTTACTCAAGGGAGGCAAGAACTACAACTCCCAGACCCACCCTGCTGCAGCAGGTGGGAGCGGGGCTGTTGATATCAATATGGCGGCTGTCAGCCAGACAAAGACAGTCAGTCTGATGTGATTGAGACAAGAGAGGTTTTCAGGGGGGAGACTAGGAGATAGGGGCCTCCCATCCCCCTTCTCCTCTTCCTGTGCTGGCCTCAACCCCTCCTTGTCCCCTCCCGACGGGCGCCCCACGCGGAAGACACCCCTCCCCCTCCAGCTTTCCCCTCCTCCCTATTTCAGCCCTTCGTACCGGGACTTTGGGGAGGGGGCTGTGCCGGGCGGAGAGAACTCAACAAGGATTCTGAGGTGAGTCGAGCGGTTTTGAAGCCGGACTACCTCAAGTCTCTATCCTCACTGCTTTCTCCTTACTTTTAAATATTTTCCCCAGAGGTTTAGGGGAGAAAGTGAGTGGAATGGGGAAGGGTCTCTCTGTGGCCGAATTGAGAGGAGAGAGAAAGCGGGGGCTTCTGAGTGGGTGACCCGGACTTAGGATTTGGGGTGGGGCAGTTTATAGGGTGCTGTAATTGAAAGGCATCGGCTTATTCCCAACTCTTTTCTCCTTGTTTCCTCCACTATGGGCGGAAGGTTTGAATCCGGGAGGTGGGGTCTCCTGTTTGGAGTTGGGGAAACTGTGAGGTGATTTTGAGGTGCGTGGGTTTGCTAGGTATGCATAACTGTGTTTCAAACTGTTACGTATACTTGTGTTACATATGTGTATTGGATAAATGTCTAGAGATAAGAAGTTAGATAGCTAGAAATACAGCTTTTAACTGGGCCTGGACTGAGAAGCGTGCGTGAGGTCCTGCTCCTGGACGTTTGGCTGACGACGTGGTGCGGGGTAGCTGGGGTTAGCAACTCGTTTGTGTCCCATTGCCCGCTCACACTCCTCTCCGCCTCAGCCCCCTCCTCTGGCCGGATCTCCACCCCAAACTCCGGCCGGAGAGAATTGTAGAGATGATGTGGTATGGTGATGGATTTTTGCATCCCTAAGTCGCTAGCTAGGTGGGAAAGGAAAAGTGTTCTTAATATTTTATTCCGGAACCGTGTTTTGGTTACACTATTGGGGCAACTTTGAAAGGAGTCCTCCGCCCACCTTCACCCCCAAACAGTAGGTAGTCTTCGTGTTAAATATAGTAATAATTAAGATTTGGGGACGTGGGGTGGGGGTCCGGAGTGCCGAATTGTGTATGTGTGTCTGTGTGTCTAATGACACAGAACAACTCTTGTGTATCTTGAGATAAGGCGACTTATTTTCTTAGTAGGAAAAACTGTTTGGAAATTATTTGGGGGTAGCTGAAAGGCGCTGCTTGTGTTTTTCTTCTACCCCACCCTGTTCTGCCTCGCATTTGCCTGAAAGCTGGTATGGAAGATTGAGGAAGCATTGGGTGAGTGAAGGGAAGAATGCAGTTGGCATTAAAGATAGAATATATGAAGTTGAATGGTATCAAGTGATTACTGTTTTTTATGTACTCTGATGCTCAAAAATCCTCATGTATCAAATAGGGCACAGTGATGTGACTAGTTTATTTCTCAGCTTTAGAAACTCCTTCCTTCCCATGGTACAACATTTCTCTTCCTGGATGAACATAATGCCTCCTGAGCCTTTTTTAAAAAATTAGTTTGAGTTAATATGGTTAAGATTTCTGTGTTTTGTTTTGTTTTTTAAATCCTTAAACATACATCGCTAGATCAAAAGGCTCTGCATTCGTTTTTAATTTTGCATTTATGCCACAGGTAATTATTACAACAGGATTGCAATGCTATTCATTAAACTTATTTATAAATTGTACGGCTAAGTTATTAGCTGTAGTTTGGAAATTTTGAATTCTGATTTTTTTGTTAGTTTCGATTACAGTTATAAAGGGAAGAGATTGCAACCTCTATTGTCTTTTATATTCAGCACCATTACAATTGGAGAATTTAAAAGTAGATTTTGTACTTCCATCTGCAGTAGAAGTTCATTAATAAGCCTTATTTGAGGGTTGTTATGTTTTTTTTTAGTGTAATGGACTTTTAAATGACTAAAAGAATTCTCATAATTTCTATTTAGATTGTTGATAATATAATGTATTTATATATTTAACCCCAAACTTATTAATTCTTGATACTGCCATCTATCAGAAAGGATCTTAGAGTCTGTAAAAACTAAATTTCACATAGATACAATATGAAATTTCTGCAGTTGGTCATTCACACAGATAAGCTGACTCTTAAGTGTGAGGTAGCATATATTTAGATTGACCTGAATAGAAAAAAATTGATGTTTTGTAAATCATGAATTAAGAATGTAGAATATGTCAATTCAAAGCCCAGACTAGTTTGTTATAGATAGGATTAACATAATTATTTCTTTTAACTTTGTATCTTATTGTGAAGTAGTACTTTGCAAAAACTGAAGACAAATCCTATATTGACTATGTAATAGAGTGGGGGTTTTTTGTTTTGTTTTTGCCTAAAGATAATTCTGCTAGTCATAGGGTTTTCAAATGTTTAATAATAATTACTTTAGGAAAAAAACCCTCTAAAAGAGTCAAAAATATGAGAATGCTTTGTCTTCCACCTATCCTTAGCTCAAAACAATCCTTTCATTTGTTTTATTCTTTGGAAATGTAAAGTTATTTACCATGGGAAAAGCTCTCATTAAACTTTTTGACAAGTAGCCTTATTGAAATCATTAAGTATAAACCCAATATATTCCTTGCATTTGTTGGAGTGATTCTGTTGCATTTTAAGCGAGGGGCATTAAAATGATGTAAAGCCTTTACTGCAGGTTAAAGCATAAAACATTTCTCAGCATGTGGAAGTCATTTGCTTTAAGAAAAAGTCGAAAATCAGGGCATTGGTGCCTGGCCAACTTAAAATTTCATCCCATAACTGTGAAAGACACATTTATTTTCATCTGATCACTTCTAAAAATGTTGCCTATTTTATGGGAAATTGAAAATCCAAACTGTTTTAACTCAATCTGTTGCTAGCTTACTGTGTACTGCATATATTTGCACAACTATTTCTGCTTACAGATGTGCATCAAGAAGCTTTTAGGATCAGCTTTATGTTGAGTGTCTTCAGTAAGGCTTCATTTTCACTGCTGCAGAAACAAATTTCAGTCTTCTACTAGCCTTTGTTAAAATACGACTAATATAAGTATAAGTAGGTTATAAAATATATTGCAATAAATCTCACTGTCTCATTGTGGCAAGTATTCATTGGAATGGTATTGATATTTTTCAGTTTTATTTTTTTAAATGCACCAGGAATATTCATGTTTAATTTGTGCATTTTGGGTGTTCGGTAGACTATGTATTTAGTCCATCCACTTTTAATGTTTCAGAGAGCAACTATGTTGCTTGTAAAATCTTATTTGCTGTTTCTGTGTTTATTTCATTGCAGCTTTTTATTTTTGTATATAGAATCATAAACTTGAATTATTTCACTTGGGAATTGAACTTTATCACAGAAGTCATTTTTCATAAATTCATTTTCAATGTAATGCCCAACTTTTTGAAAATGTGAACATTTATAGAAATTTTATTTTTAAAGTGCTAAGTGAAAATGTGTTGATTTTGTTGTTTTAAGTTTTTTCTGGTTTACAAAATTTAAAGTGTCATGTACATACATCCATACTTGTATTCACATATATATAAACACTTGTATTTTGTTTATGGAGTCCTAGTGTGGCGCTGTAGGATAAGCACTGACTGCTAACCTCAAGATTGACAGTTCAAACTCACCAGACACTCCTTGGAAACCCTATCTATATAGGATCACTATGAGTCTAACCAACTAAGTGGCATTTAACAACATGTTTGTTTATTTATGAAGTTGGTATATGTATATCTATCAGCTGATAAAGGAATTTAAGTCACTAAGTCACAGATAGCAGGAGACTGAACAGTGGCTCAAACTAGAAACTAAGATTAACCATCTACATGTTGTCCACATTATGGAAACTATAGAAATATTCAGTATCACTTCAAACCATTATTTTCACAGATTCTTCCAAAATAATGGAAGCAAAAATATGTCCTCTCAAAATACAAGCTACTGGTGTTGAGAGTTTTCTCAAAATAGTATCTTAAGTAATTTGTGATTGAGATTCATAGGCACAACTATTTCCCAAATGGCCCTTGTTAAGCTAGTCAACTGCCTTTGAGACTGACTCCAATTCATGGCAATCCCATGCATAGCAGAATCAGACTACTGAGATTCAGAGACTTTTCTGAAGTTAGATTACCAAACCTTCCTAGTCTAATTTACTCTGGAAGCTATCCTGAAACCTATTTAGCATTATAGAAACACTCAAGCCTCCACTGACAAATGGTGGGGCTGTATATGAGGTACACCGACCAGGAATCAAACAAAGGTCTTCTCCATGGACCCCTAGTAATCTATCATGGAACCATCAGTTACCATATTGTTAGATTTCTGGTGAATTACAGAAACTCTATACAAAGTCACTATGGGTCGCAACTGACTGGATGGCAAGTACCAACAACATAGTTAATAAGGGGAGTCCTGGTATAGTGCTATGGATAAAGCACTAGACCGCAAGGTTGATTTGAACCACAGGATTAGTAGTTCAAACCCACCAGTCGCTCCTTGGAAACCCTACATAGAATTGCTGTGGTTGGAACTGACTCAATGGCACTTAACAACAACAGCATAGTTTTAAAGAGCCCTGGTGGTGTAGTGGGTTACACATTGGACTGCTAAGCACAAGGTCAGCAGTTCAAATCCACCTTCCGGTCTCCAGGGAGAAGGAGGTGGCTGTCTGCTCCTGTTGTAAAGGCTTATAGCCTTGGAAACCCAATATAGGATCTTTATGAGTTAGAATCAACTCCATGACAGTAGATTTTTTGTTTGGTGGTTGTAAAGATTTTTTCAAGTGATTATTTGATATCAAACATGTAGCAGCTATTAAGTGCCATCAAGTTGCTTCTGACTCACAGAAACCATGTATAAGGTTTTTGAGGAGTGGCTGGTGGGTTTGAACCATTGACCATACATCTCAAACTGACCTTTTGGTCCAGCGCATTATCCTGCAGCACCATACCAGGACTCCAAAACTTTTAGTTAGAGTCTATTTAAACGTAACCCAGTATTTCAATAACTTGTTTTTTTTCACCTTAGATAAAACTAGTTGAAATTTATCATAACATTGTCTTTGACATTTACTAAGAGCATTTATTTACTTGGTGGCCCTGACTTTAGCATACTTCTATCCTAACAGTGGTACTAAGATTGATGTTACTGTACCATTTTTCCAATGGTGGTCATAATTGTAATACAAATGTTTATAGATCCTTAATTAGGGCTGTAAGGACACACACATTTTTAACCTTTGCAAACAAAAGGAGGAAAAAAATGGTAGTCTGGTGTTAGGTTTGTAGTGGTTGGTTGAAATTTTTTCAAACTCTAAAACAAAAGGCCTGAGACATTTCTTTTATGTGCTAAGATGATTTTAACCATTCAAGGAGCCCTGATATATGGTGCTGCAGGATAATGCTCTGGACTGTTAAGTCAGTTTGAATTGCAAGGATGGTGGTTCAAACTCACCAACTACTCCTTGATCCTTGGAAACCATATATAGGTTCCTTATGAGGCATTTAACAACAGTCCCATTCAAAGGGAATTTTGTTTGTTCTTAAGGCAAGAATGCTGATTATAATAAGAATGTTCACTAAATTCCACATATTGGATATATTCTCTAGTGCCTCTGTTCATCTTATGTTCAGTGTTAGTCTGCATAGGGTTTATAGAAAACATTTAATGACTCTCTTTGCCATAAACATATACTAAACAATGAGTATGGAGTTACCAAGCAGCAGTAATGTTAATATATATGTCATATTTTTCATAGAGAAAAAAATCAAGTACAGTGAGTATTGCTGAAATTAGTATGATTTAACACTGTATCTGCTTAAAAATTTGATTAAGTAGTAATAGTTTAAAATGTGAAGTTGTTTGTTTGGGCCTAGTCTGTCAAGCCTTGGAATCATCTGTATTCTACCCAACCAGTCATGAGGCCAAGTTGATTTTACTCCCTTTATATCTGTTGTCTTCTTTTTACTCTATTGCTGTTCTCTTAATCTAGACCTTCGTCATTTCTGGTTTATTACATCAGTCCAAGCTAATCTTCCTGCTTTGTTTTTGTCCTTAGTCATTCTGCATTTCTAGCTGAAGGATCTTGCTAAAATAAAATGTCAATTTTATTATCAGCCACTACTCTGCCCATAAGCCTTCAGCAGCTCCCCAGCCTTCCAGTTTTTAAATCCAAACTCTTCTCTTACCTATGCATTCACGTCCCATCTGTCTGCAGTACATATGCAGACAGGCTGTACCTCAAACTTCCAGGCAGCCATGAGACTGCTAGGAATGAGATGTG